CCCTAAACTGCCGGTGCCGAAAATAAAACTTCCGCACAAACTTCCTCACTCGTTTTTGCAAACTTCCTCTGTTTTGGGTGGTCGTTATGTAGCTAAATCTTGCTAAAATAGAGACATGTAACAGGTTTTTCGTTTGAGGGTTATACTTCTTCGAGGAAGTTTGGTGGAAGTTTAAGAGGAAGTTTGGTGGAAGTTTACTTGAAACTGCTGCCAAACTTCCACAGACACCAGAGGAAGTTTCCACTAAACTTCCTCCAAACTTCCACCGACACCAGAGGAAGTTTAGAGGAAATTTAGTGGAGACTTCCTCTCCGGAATTTTGACTTCGNNGCCTGCTCATTTTGACTTTGGCGGCAAATTTTGCCGACGGCGGCAAACCAAAGTTTTACTTCGAAGTTAAACGTTTAGCTTTGCAAGTTGACTTCGAAGGGAAAGCGAAAACAGGCAAAGTTAGCTTTGGCTTCGAAGTCAATTTCTGGCTTCTTTGGTCTATTGGGCAGCTCAAAGCGAATCTGGATGCGCGTCTCAGACCCGTCTTCTTCCAGGCGCAAGCTCAGTCAATCCAGCAGGGAGACTCTTGAGTTCTTCCTCTACCTCAGCTCGAGGGAGTGGCGACCTCGACCTCTACCCCCACTTGCATCAGTGGAGTCTGCCGCTGACGCTTTCGGCAGTGGCGATCAATGTGGGGTTGGGGGCTGGCTTAAACTCTCCAACGGGAGCTTGGTTTGGTGCTCGCAGCGCTACAAGGTCACAGCCTTCACTAGCCTTGGCTTACCCATGCAGGCCAACGCCAACTTGGACATCTCCAGCTACGAGACCTTGGCCCAATGCTTTGTTCCTCTTTGTTTCTGGAAGTCGTTTGGCAGTGGCCGCTTGGCAGTTAGCCTACCCGCTTTAAGTGATAACACTGGTGCGGAATCAGTATGCAACCGCTTTTACACCTCAAAAGTTCCGCTTAACCTTTTTGTTCGAAAGCTGTCTATGTGGAGCTCTATGACGGGCATACAACTGGAGTGCAGCCACATCTCGGGTGAAAAGAACGACGACGCTGACATGCTTTCACGCTGGGATGGGCTGAGTGAGCTTCCTGAAGGCTTTTCGTCAGAGAGTCGTGTACATGTTTCGCTTGCTGATTTCTGGAACATCCGCCTTGGGGTGACACTTCACCCGGATGATGCATTCTTGAAGTGGCGGCTCCCTGAGCCGCACCAACTTGGTCCCTCAAACAGGGGCTATAGGAACGAGATCGGCGAACCTTTGCCGGCTAGTACCTGCGGGAGACGACCCAGTGCTCCTTCCTCACTGGGCGGGGGAAAAGATCACCTACTTGATCGAGAGCTATTTGCACTCCGACAAGATGGCAACGAACACTGGAGCCCCGTTGGGTCGGGGGACCGACAGAAGCGGACCGCATGTCCGTTGACACGCCGAAGCGAGCACACGAAGGAGTAGGAATTCGCTGAGTGGGGGGATGCCGAACGACTTTGAGTAGGCTGTTGAAATTCGATATGTGCAGAGTCTTTTCAGAGGGGAGCAGGGGTCGCTTGTGTCCGGGTTACGTTGAGCGTGGTTTGCAGCTGACCTTGTCGTTTTGCTGTTTTCAGGGTCTTTGTTTACTCACAGTTTTTTCCCCACTGATGCTACGCCCCAGTGCCGGGGGATGCAAGCAATCTGTAAATACTCTTGTGACAGATGTCTCTGTAAGGGGATTCGATGACATTCCCACTGATTTGTAAGACTTGGCTTGTAAATTCTGCTGTGCAGATGTCTACTCCGCCCACCATGCCATGTCAGCGCAGAAAGCCAAGTCTTTAACACACGTCAAATCCGGCAGTGCCACTAGTCACTAGACGTTCCTTTTCTGTCTTAAGGTTCAGACGCTCATCTTTGCCAAGGGGACAGCAATTCAACCGGCACTTTTCTTGCTGCCCCTCAGATATCTCACAGTTTTTGAAAACCCTTACAGCGACAAGGGAATGCAAATTGATTTGGGAAACCTATGCTCCTTTCAGCTGAACTCACTAGGTTCAGTGGTAACAGTGGCATGATGTGTCAATTTGAGCCAGTAGGTGTCCCAAAGGGGGGATGCATCAAAGATTCACTTATCCCAACCTGCTTACTGTCAACTTATTGTTGGTAACATATCTTGTCATCCTGATGAGAAACCCCGCACCGTTTTCACGTCCCTTCAAGGCCCCATAACATATGGGGGGCCAATAGGCCGGGGGACCTCGACAGTCCCCTATGCCTTGTGGAAGAAGAGAGAGGGAGGGAGCGAGAGAGAGAGAAAGACGGAGAGATAGAGAGATAGATTGAGAGAGTGAGACAGAGAGGAACGAGAGAGAGAGACAGAGAGGGGAGCAACCCCCTGCACCACAACACCGGCGAAAGAAAGGGAGGGCTTTAGCTTGATGACATGCATGTGGGTTGTGCTGCAGGAAGGTTGGGGTTTGCGGTTGAGGACGCTCATGCTACAGTCTTGGCCGTCATAAACACATGGGATCGATGGTCAGTAGACCATGGCTCAGCCTGGACTGGATACATGGCATCCGCAAATCAATTTGACAGTCGCAACAGCCCCTATAGTCGATAGCTCACCCCAAGCCTGTCGCTGACCCTTACGGTTGCGCTAGAGGCCTAGTTTCAAATCTCAAACCATAAAGCACAAAACCTCAAGCCCACACCAATTCTCAAGTCCCAAGCCGGTCATACCCAGGAACTTCCCGCAGTCGGCCAACGAACCCTACGCAGAGATTCAGGATTTCTGGGTGCGTTCGGTTAGAGCGATTTAAATGTTGCAGGATGGGAACAATGATTTGAAGTTGTTGTTGTTGTTGGCATAGGTAGTTTTTAGGTTGGTGGCGCCCGATTGGGTGTCAGCCCCGCCTGACCCTGAAAGAATTTTGTCTGCATCTCCAATGAAATGAATTCTCCTTACACGTCTTAGTCCTCGGCCGCCCTAAACCTTAAACCGCCAATCCCACGTGCTACGTACTGCAACCATCTCACAGAACGTGGTGGGGACGGAGCTCGTTGGCACATCACAGAGCTACAGAACGGTCCTGTCTGGAGGGCATCGGCCCTTGTTGTTGTCATTATTGCTGCAGCGCCCAAGCTCCCCAAGAGCCCTTTAGCCCTTCGCCATTCAAACCCGCAGCCCTAAGCATCAGAAGCCCGAAGCCTTAGACGACCAGAGCCCCGCCAAGCCAGGAGACCTTCCGATACTTGGGTCAGTGTACCAAGGCCCTGCCGCAGGCTGCTCAGGGACGGGGGGCTCAGACGGTTGAGGGGCATCAGGCCTCAAGGTTGTTGTGTTGAGGGTTTCAGGTCTCCAGGTGTCATTTCTGGATGCATCGTATTTTCGGACGAACCGCGGCCGGGCCCTGGAGTTATGGTCAATCACAGGCGTGTCAGGGATGTTAAAGGTTCCGACTTGAATATGGAAACGTCCTAGTTTCAATACAACGGTCAGAAACGCCGAAGTGCAGGAAAACTAGAAGCTTCGAAGTGGTCGCAGGCAGCCTGAGCTTGGGACTTTCGTCTCCAAAGAGGCGGGGCAAGGATGATACGATGATCAAGGTCTTCTTGGCTCGTGGTAAATATTTTCAGTACCAGGCTGTTGATTTATGGCGAATCATTACCGTGTAGTTTCTCGGAAGTGGCAGGCGGCCGCTTGCATTCGGACAGTTGCGCGGAAAAGGTCGGAGCGAGTATGTTCCTTACCCTCCCCTTAGGTTCCACGCCGCCTGCCCGCTTTGCCAAGTCACAGAATCCAGGAGCTGGCTTCATGCGTGCCCTTTTCAGGTCGCATGCCAGGGATGCTTGGGTGCTCGGCGCGGAAAGCCGATTTTTTCACCCTTCTTCCAAATGACTCAACAAGTAGCGTGACCAGTAGTCTTGTAGCATGTATAAACATGTGCATGCACGTTTGCATGTATGCATGCATGCGTGGATATCTGTAGGGTATGTCGATAGTACAAACCTAACAGACATATAGATAGATGGATTTATGTCAGTACGCACGTATGTATGCATGTATGTATATGCACATATAAATGCATACATACGTACATCATACACACATGCAGATATACATACACAGATACATACAGGCATGCACGCATACATACATACATACGTACACGCACACATACGCACATAGGTACATGTATATTATACAGACGTACACATAACACACACATGTACATATATACATATGTGTATATGTATATATGTAAATATGTAAATATGTATATATGTATATATGTATATATGTATATATGTATATATGTATATATGTATGTATGTACATGTGTACATATGTATATAATATATGTATATATGTATATATGTATATATGTATATATATATATATATACTATACATATATATACATATTTATAGACTCAACCAAAACCAAACCTCCTCAACTCCTAAAGTTGCCTTCTTCAATTCGCCCACA